AAATATTCTAAAAGAAACATAACAATATTGTTTTATGTACTTTCACTTTTCACGTATAGTATAACTACTCTTTAAGATTAAGTACTGTGTATCTCAAAAACCAGAGCTAATAAAAATTTTTCATTGTTATTTTCGTTTTTATCACCCCAAAATTAGTAGAAATTGACTAATTTAGTGTAGGAAACATTCAAAAAATATTTTTTTGTTGTGTTGTGAATCTGATACTGAAAATGAACTGAATAAGCGGTTAATGAAATTAATTGTAAGCATTCCTTTTCTTAATCAACTCAAAATTGTAATGATGATATTCATAATAGGAAGTTACTACAAATGAGGCGGTTATGGAACTAATTGTTGGAATCCAAAAGTGCATGTCAAATCTTACCATTTTGGTTGATAAAACATGACTTTTAATGAATCTATTAATAGTTTTATTCTATTTTATACATCTTCAACGATACATTAATACTTTTATTCTATTTCATACATCTTCAACGATACACCTGCATTTTCACTCAGAATAATAATTGTGTTCCATTTGAAGGAAGAATGTGATTTGAATGACTGAAAATGAGACTAAAACTGAGTTGTCAGTACAGACCACAGATCTAGGTTCATCAAAAGGAGATTTTGATCATGACGCTAGTTGGGGTGATATCGAGGATTAAAAAAATGGTATGACAAACGTAAATGACAAGGAAATGATGGAGATTCAAAAGACAGGTATTTTATGAAGAACTGCAGCAGGATATACCAGCGAAGAAAAAGTTGGATAAGAAATCAAAATGGTTCAATGAAGAATGACAGCAAAACTTAGGAGATAAGAGAAAAGCTGGATTGAAATGGATGGATACCAAAAAGAATGAAGTAATTCAAATTTCATCATCAAATAAGAATAATTGAAGGAATCAAGAAACAAGATGTAGTATTATGAGAAAAATAATACATGACAATATCGACCCTGAAGGTCGTATCATTGGTGCTAGGCTCAAACAACGGACTGTATTTGAAGCTTCGTTTATCTGTGACATTCGAAGATTGAGTCTTCTATCGATCCTCTAGATGTCTTTTCCGCAAGAGAGAAGTGAAGAAAAAGTGAAGAAAAAATATTGAAGGGTGCCCAAGGTAGGAGTGTGCAGACTCATGTACAGTAAATGGATCAAAGGATAAAAAGGGATTGACTTTTGTGTCAAAATTCACTTCGCACAAAATAACGTCTGTGATAGATCATAACAAAATTTACCCCTCCAGTTGAAGATAATAATTGAAAGGCTAACTGACAATGATTTTTCATATTAACTTGAACAAAAATTAAAAATATCAAACTGTTTTTTAGATATATCACAAATAAGAAATTATTCATGACTACAATGAAATATATGGTTACTATTTGGTTGTTACAAAAGTTTTTTCAGTTTTGATATTCGAAAAATCAATCATCATTTGTTCGACGTTGGTTTGCGAAATTTAGTTTTAAAAATTGAACAAAAATTAAAAATACCAAACTGTTTTTTAGATATATCACAAATAAGAAATTATTCATGACTACAATGAAATATATGGTTACTATTTGGTTGTTACAAAAGTTTTGTCAGTTTTGATATCATGTTTTTTGTAGCTCCATATCTCAATAAATATTTATTTTACTGTTTCTTGGTATATGCTGCACGATAGAGAAATGTGTACTCTATATATTGATGCTATTTATTTTCACCTCTTTCCACCTCACTATATGATGTCGTTAATCGACTTTCGATCGAATTTTTCTCTACGAATTTAAATTGAACCAAAGCGCTGCCAAAACAGCCCGAAAAATCAATCATCATTTGTTCGACGTTGGTTTGCGAAATTTAGTTTTGAAAATTTCAGCCTCGAAGATGAGTTCTGAAGAGGTCGACCTACAGTAATCCAGGACTACCATTTGAGGATCCTGGTGGAGAGTGACCCATCACAAAAGATGCGTGTGATAAAGGAAGAACTGGGCGTCAGCTCCTATGCTGTTTTTGTTGGTCAAAAACGTACTGGAAAGGTGAAAAAACTCAAAAAGTGGGTGCCCCGTGATCAGAACGAAAGACAAAAACTGTCACGATTCTTCTTTGCTTTTGCGCAACCAAAACTGATCGTTACGTGTGATGAACAGTGGATCCTCTACGACAACCTCAGATGTTTAGGACACCGATGAAATATCCAGGCACTTTCCGAAGGCAAAAACCCATCAAAAAATGATCATGGTTACTTGGCGCCCAACGTGGGGCAAAATATGTAACTTAGTCGGGGCTACTTTGAATGTCCAGGCTAGTCAGTAGAGAACGGTGTGAGTTCTTTGGACAACTTTGCTAGTTTCTGATTTTTAATGTGTCAATCAAGTAAAAATATGAATGTTAAATATTTGAATGGCTGGGCGCCAGCATTTTTTTTATTTTATGATGGAAAAAAAATACAAAATACCATTACGAAGATAGTAATGAAAACTTCCTTCTGTGGTCAGGCGAGCAAGAAAATCATATATTCACAAAAATTAATACATATATTTACAAAAATAAAAACAAAGATTGACCCTCTTAGTATGATGGTTTCACCTGTTCCATTCATAGATACATTAAATAATATCCACAACAATTACTCTTAGTTATACTACTCTTGTATTGATGCATCAATGGTTTATATAAAACAATTTAATCTTGAATTCAGGAGTCAACATGTATAAGCAAGTAAATATTCTTATACAAAAAAAATTAACCTTGAAATCACCACTGAATGTGTCTTGGGGAACAAAACAATGCTTTGTACAAAAAAATTACCACTAAAAAATTCACTAAATCATTTAAATCAGGAAATGGGATTATAACCTTAATTCACTTGAAGTCTGTAACCAATTTACAAAGATATAGATAATGAGGGGAGATTGGTTATATCTCGATCTATGAATCGGAGATTTGTTCAACCAAGAGACAGGTCCCTTGCTCGAATCTGAGCTCAGCGGCAGAGTGGAGCTTCCCGAACGATGAAGCAAAAATTTGGATTGTGACTTACACTTTTTTTTAATTTTCAGCCACTGTTATCAGCAATCGGATAGAAATCCCAGGACTCCTAGTCAAAATCGCCAGTAACCCCTCACACAAATTTCAGGGATTTTTTACACATGGAAGGAGGGACATTTTTTCTCAGCAGAAAATCTCAGGACTTTAATTCTTGCATCGGAGGAAACCCCAATTCATCAACGAATGTAAAATAGATAGTTTGGATTCAAATTCATAGTGATCACCATGAAATATTCAGATTTTTCTGAATCAGCATCATTACTTTCACATCCAAAAAAAAATAATCTAAGATATCGAGCTTTACCTTCTCAACTCTACCAGAGACTTCTCCCTTCCTTAAAAATTCCCCCTTCATCTTCTCTCCTTACCTATCTTCACGTTACTAGTGAACCAAAGATGGCTTATGCTAGGAGGAACACTTGCCAATACCGGTTACATAGAATTCATAGATGTCACATTTTATCGTGTCATGAATAAAATTAAATGACGATAACGGATATATCGTTATATGTCAAGTCCTCATTGTGCCCGTTCTAATGGCATGGTAGAATGCATGATTCAAACAATAAAAATATTTTGTGTAAATCTATTGAAGATAAACGGGACCCATTTCTTACGATATTGAATTGTAATATCACCCCAAAACAGGACATACCTTCTCCTAGCGAACTTCTCATGGGAAGAAAACTAAGATCTACGCTTCCAGTAGTTGAAAAAATATTGAAACCTCACTTCTCATGGGAAAGAAATTATATAAAAGACAAAATTTGCAAAAACTATATTATGATGTGAGAACTAAAAAATGCCCGAGCTTGATGTTTACCAACCTGTGATAGTAATCAGCATTATTACTTTCACATCCAGAAAAAACTCTAAGATATCGAGCTCTACCTTCTCAACTCTACCAGAGACTTCTCCCTTCCTTAAAAATTCCTCCTTCATCTTCTCTCCTTACCTATCTTCACGTTACTAGTGAACCAAAGATGGCTTATGCTAGGAGGAACACTTGCCAATACCGGTTACATGGAATTCATAGATGTCACATTTTATCGTGTTATGAATACAATGAAATGACGATAACGGATATATCGTTACATGTCAAGTCTTCATTGTGCCCGTTCTAATGGCATGGTAGAATGCATGATTCAAACAATAAAAATCTTTTGTGTAAATCTATTGAAGATAAACAGGACCCATTTCTTACTCCAAAACAGGACATACCTTCTCCTAGCGAACTTCTCATGGGAAGAAAACTGAGATCTACGCTTCCAGTAGTTGAAAAAATATTGAAACCTCACTTCTCATTGGAAGGGGTGGGAAAGAAATTATATGAAAGACAAAATTTGCAAAAACTATATTATGATGTGAGAACTAAAAAATGCCCGAGCTTGATGTTTACCAACCTGTGATAGTTCAAAAATATATTAGAGGTTGGGAGCCCGAAATTATAATTAACAAATCAGGAAATGATGATTACAATGTTCTTACTAACGGAACGGAGTACAAAAGAAATAGACAATCATTCAGACCACCTGTTTTTCTCAAGCAGGATGAATATTTTCCCGAAACATATCAAGATGTACAAGATTCTATTCCAGGAATAAGTCAAGATAGTACAATGTGTTCTGGCAAATCAATGTCTGCCTCGAATTCAAGTTCCAGTCATTACCAAACGAGAAGGGGTAGATTCGTTAAGCCCCCACAAAGATTAAATTCATCTTGAAATACTTTTATATTGTATTCTTGTTTTATTTTGAAAGGGGCGTGTAATGTATGTAGAAATATATACTTTGAGGACACGTTGGAAACGTTGGAAAATCAGTATATTTCATAGTCTCGATGTGAACACAGATCCTCTTAACCTGTTACAATAAATAACCTTATAGAAAAGTATCAGCCTCTTGATTCCATGAGAACCAATTTTCAATCAAAACAAAGAATATTACATGATTTACTATTTGAGAAAATCGACGAAATGTACTGAAAATTGTGTCAGCAGCAGCTGACACTGGTCAACAAAAAAGGTTCGATCCTATCCTTCAGCGGGTTTTACAAACCACCGTACAAAAATTGAACGAATTGAGCGTCGAAGTTCATCCTCATCCACCGTACTCTCCAGACCTCTCGCCAACCGACCACCATATTTCCAACCACTTCGATAACTTTCCCACCGATAGTACTTTCGCCAATCAGGGCCAGCCAAAAACGCCCTTTGTCAGCCTCATCGAATCCCGAGCACACAATTTTCATGCCGCCGGAATATTTTGACTTGTGTTACGTTGGCTAAAGTACACTGATTCAAACTGAACTTATTTTGATTGAATCGAATGAGTATTCACTGAGATATTACAGTTTAAGTTAGACTCTTAAAAATGCACAAAACTTTTAAAACAACTAATACTTTTCTGTTTGGCGATATTATGCTCTGAGTAGCTGAAGAAGTTCATCAGTGGATCGGTTGTCATTTTCACCAAAATATTTGAACAAAAAAATAATTTTCAAACCTTTGGCGTGAAAGTATATTTTGACTTCTTGATTTCTTCGGGAGGCAAGATGACGTTTCCAGTGCCATCAAGTTTATTGGTGAACAATAAACTTATTATGGGATTAGTGGAACCTCTCATGGTTTCTATGATTTCCTGGGGTAGAAAATCGCGGTTCCTGTCGGGCATTTCCTTGCAACTGTAGGTAACTTTTCCCGTGAAATGTGTGACAGTGAAGCTGCTTTCATTATAAACTAGCACCTTCCTTTTGTCTTCGTTGTACATATTATCTAAAATATATAATAGAATTAAAGTAAACTATATTGTTCAAAAGAGTACAAAATTTTCTCTATAAAATATGAGTTGATTAATGAATTCCAGCTTCTGATAAATTCTGAAGAAAATATAAAATTGATAACATTTTCAGGAACTGAATAATTAGAACCACTGCATTTTGAATCAAATGCAAACATTATACAGGCCGTTTCTTTTGTCATATAGTAACATTGCTATATTCTAAACCGTAACAGATATGAAGACGATTAAATGGGAAAAAAGGTAACTGTCATCGGGAACAATATAATGGTCGAAGAAAATTTACGGGGACTCTCGCCCTTCTCGTGTTATAGGGAGAAAACCAAAAATGCTGTTTTTTCGAATACAATTGTCATTTCGGAGAATATCGAAAAATGGAAAAGGAAAATGTTATGGTATTCGAAGTGTACTACACGGTGTAATAATAAATATTCGATAAAACGTTTCGTGTCAACATCGCCACCATCAACTTTTTTTTTATACGGATCTGTCTTTTTTATTACAGATATTGATAAAGCGTTAAATTCACAATCCAATGGTTTATCTAATTTGATATTTTTATAGCGTTTCATTTGAAATCACCACCATTATCAGTGACAACAATCAAAGAGAAAAATAATTCATTTCATTATGAACTTTTGGGAAAAATGAAACCAATACGGAAAATCAAAGCTACATGGCAATCTACATTAAATGCTCGAATTGATGACCTCTTTGTTGAATGCACCTAAGTTGTCGGTCCAGACAATTTCTGTGGCAATTCTCTAGCATAATAGGTGTAATACTAATATATGCATCTTTTATTTTCTGTTTGAGATGTATTTGGTGTTGAAAAAACTTTGTCCTTTATGTATCTCCAGACAGAAAAAACCTAAAGGAGGAAGATCTGGAAGGAAGAACCTAATCGGTTCATTGTTTCCAGTTCATTTTCTTGGAAATATTGCATCTGAATGTTCCCTTACTATTGCTGCATTATGGGGAGGAGCGCCGTCCTGTTGAAAATATTTTATTTCATGGCGGATATTCAGTGGCAATTCATCTAAGTAACCATCGCATTCATTGAATATAAAATGAAGATACATTTCACTGTTCAAATGATCTTCGTAAAAGAAAAAGCCAAAGATGTTTGTTTCCATAATTCCCAACCAAACATCCATTCCGAACCTTTCTTGGAAATTGGTTTCCCTATGTAAATATTCAGTTATATTATTCCACCTTCAATGGATATTTCTGTTGAACCAACAATTGTTCGTCCGTCCATCACACATATTTCCAATTTCCCTATTTCTACGTCTTAATCACTTCGCTAATCGAACTCTCCCTCCGTAATACCTTTCATTGAGTTGATGAACTTTGCGTATCCTGTAGCATTTATATTTGTTCTTTTTCAAAATAGTTCTGGTGGATTTTACAGTAATCCTCATTTCGTGGGCAATCTTGATTAACATAATTTTTGTAACTAGCCAATCCTAAATTAAAAAAAAGTTGTTTCCACTGTGTAAATTTTTATGTGTTACCTGATATTTGCTCACTAATAACATTTTTTTGATTCCTCACACTTCCAGTAACCACATATTTTCTTGTGTTCTTTATATCAAATGCCCTCAAATTCCTTTTTAATCGTCTAAACATTTGGATGTTCAGAATACGACGATTCGGACATAGTTCAACATACTTATTCTTTGCCAAAAGAGGATTTCTTTATGATTTTGCATAATTGAATAGCATATCAGTCCATCTTTGATATGTTTGATAGTTATCAATTACGCATTTATTTTTCCTGCCATAGAAACCAAGCAAAGCCTACGCGTTTAAAATGGTCAATGAATTGAGATGCTATTTTATCGTACCAAATTATACAACAATCGAATTTTGACCAAAAACTGATATTTTTGTTACTTCCAGGATTGAGAATTATGAAAATATTACGAATTATAATTGATTAGGGAGAAATAAGCCTTGAAGGAAGGATTACGGCAATACAAAAATTTCAAAACGGAAAAGTAGAATTTTCGTTGTGTTAGGGTACCCCTCTGTCGAATTTATTGGGTTGTTACCCGTAAATTTTTTTCGACCATTGTATTGCTCCCGATGACAGTTACCTTTTTTCTCATTTTTTCATTATAATGTTATATTTTAGTGTAATGACCAAAAATTTTTAAATTTTTGACTTTCAATTTGATTTGTTACTCAAAACAAGTGTTTCAGTCATTGAGAGTCAACGGTATTTGTTTGCAACTCTGTGTTACCTTTATATTTTTGAACTGAAAGATTTTTATTACATTATATTTTAGTGTAATAATTAGAGATTTTCAAATTTTGACTTTCAATTTGATTTGTTACTCAAAAGAAGTGTTTCACTTTTTGATTGTCAACGGTATTTGTTTGCAATTCTGTGTTATCATTATATCTGTAATATTTTGTTATGCAAATATTATTATTATTCAATCGTCTTTTTATCTGTAACGGTTTAGAATGTAGCAATGTTACCACATGACAAAAGAAACTATCTGTAGATCATAAATACTTTGTTGGTTTTGTGATCACTCACCTAGGATATATCGCCCGCTGTGTCCTTTTTTAGAGGCATCATCTAATAGAGACAAAACTCCTTCTGGTTTTCCCAATAATTCATTCAATGTATCCTTGTTATTATAGTACGAGAAGTAGGTGAATTCTATATCTTCGCTCTGCAGATCCTGCAACTCCCAAGCGAACACTCTTTGAAGAAAGTGATAATGAAGTTGTTCATTCAAAGCATTGACAAGAAGTTGTGAGAATCCATTCTGCTTGAAACATTCGAATCCAAAATAATCCAAAATTTTTATTGTGTACCGTACACCACTAAAAATTAAACGAATGTTATATTCAAATCATTGTCATCGTTAAACTCATTATGCGTACAAAAAAAAACTCTTGTATTAAGAAAGCCGTAATACATTGATATTTACTAATTTTAAAAACTGAATTTCACTGTTGTCAATTTTACATTCAATTTTTATTTCAAGTCAAAACTTAAATTACAAAGTGATACAAATGAAAGTTCGATTTGGTCCCCTGTTCATAGACGGGGATAAACGGCTTTCTACTTACGAAAAATTTTGGGAAACATGACAAGAAGCTGTAATTATCTGCTGTATAAACCTTCCGGTGAGAAGTCGATAGCATTCGCATATGAATCAAGGAAAAGATTCAGAAAAGAAATAGATACATGAAACGTAGATATTGTATAGTCTTAGAAGAACTAATGAAAGTAACGGCTACCTCAGCAAGCTTGTATTGTAGCTAGGAAACAAAATAGTAAATCCGATTATATATAACCAGCCATACTAATTTTGCAGGGTGGAGAAAGGAAGAGATAGGAAGAAGAAGATGAAGGACGAGAGACAGACAGAGAGAGATCTGTTTGTGATGTGCTCTGGAAGACACCTCTAATAAAAGTTATTCCTTATTCAAGTATCAGTAGAAGCATATCATAACTAATGCCAACAAATTTTTCAACCCTCTTTTAATTTTGAGTTTATTTCTCATGCCTTTCAATGATTTAGGGAGTGTTGTGAAGCTAAGGTCCAAGATACGTTAATTTTTTTTTATTATGCGTGAGTCTGAATCGTGGAACAGTCATGGTCTTAACTTAACTGTTACGAGTATTGAAAGCATGCTGAACAAATTGATTGATAGGTATTTTTGGCACTTCTTTCTTTGGATTCCAAAAATGTCAATTTCTCTCCTCGATCTAGATTTTTTTTCTCGTGAGAAAAATCGAAACATTGTGTTAAGTTGAGATAACTGGTTATATGTGGAAGGGACACTCCGCTTGGTCACTCTCAGGATTTGAATGGGAAAAGAACTTATTGTGATACATGATTGAAAAAGTAATACATTTTATGAGGAGTTTAACCATGTTACTATTTTCAACGTATGTTTTCATTTTGGCTTCCTTTTGCTGAATGATTTCAACTGCCTGTTTTCTTTGAAACATTACTGGATAAATGCCATCTGGTTTCTCCGACCTATAATGAAGGAATGAGTTTTTCTAATACTGTACTCTTCAGAGTTCGAATTTCTCCGTTGTTAGATGTGTAAATTCTGACCCTGAAAAGTGCACTCAAAGAAAGTAACTTATAGTTTCTTCTCGGTATTTGTCTTAGATTATAAATTAAGACTTTCGCTAACACCGTAGCTTCATCGGTAGTAATAGTACACACACTAGTCTACATTTCTTATATGTATACAATAGTAGCAGTTACCTTTCTCAGTTTATAATCTTCGCCAGTTGACGAGATACTCACCAAGCGCATATCCCAATAGGCCCAAATCCTCGTATAAACAAATAAATTTCACCTATAGTAAGTGGGCATACTTGAAGACTGGCTTTAAATCAAATTATCTAAAGGAACAATTCGTTCAGGCCAGTCTTCCCTTACCTACACAGTAGGTTTATGGACTGATACCTATCAAAAAACAACTACTCCTCGGACTAATACCACGAAGGACGTTGGATTATATCCGCCGGAATTGGAACACACTTGAAGATCGGTTTTGGGCTATTTGGCCACTCGTCATTGCAAGTTAGTGTCCATCATCAACATGAAGTCGATGATTTCAGATAATTGAAAATCGAATTCCTTTCAGAGTATCTATCATACCTCGAACAAAGCTGAAGCGAACGACAAACAATATATACGTCATCACCCCTTTCGCCAGTTGACGAGATACTTACCAAGCGCATATACCAATAGACCCAAATCCTCGTATAAACAGATAAATTTCACCTATAGTAAGTGGGCATACTGGAAGACTGGCTTTTAATCAAATCATTTGAAGTAAAAATTCGAAAGATTCACCAGAAAACAAAGTTTATCGGGCTTAAAACCTCCCGAAATCTCCAAAAACAAACTAAACTTTTCTGAAGAGGTCACCTGGATCTACACTGCAAAAATAATACCTATGTTAACAAACGAAGCCATTGCATATGGACTGAAAGTTCTACAAGCAACGGTCATCCAAAAACATCACAGGAGTCATGAGAACGACACCAACTGCGATAATGGAATTGATTACTAATCTGACCCCTCTGGACCTGTACGTTAAGGAGGTCGCGTTAATGACCATATTACAATTGCGCACGGCTGGTGTGAGGGTAGAAATTGGTCAATTGAGGATGAGCCTATGGCGAGAAGCGTTTACCGCGCATCCTCTGCTGCAGGCAGCCAGTGATGCAATTGAACCCAGGTTTGTGTTTAATAAACCCTACAAAATACAAATAAAACTGAACACAGAATTAGACGCAAAAACTAAAGAAGGCTCGAAATGTGGAGTGTACTCCAGATCACTAAGCCTAAGAATTAAGTGGGAAATGGGAAAAATACCAGCGTGGTTCAATTTTTATTTATTTGGTTGTTGTTGTATGTTATTTCTTTGTAATTTCAGTTTTTTGTTTAATAAAATTGTTATTTTCGGTTAATCTCTTTTTTTGATTCTTTCAGGGTTATCAAATCAATTTATATTATATTAGACAATGGAATTCCGAACTGATGAGACGGAAAATATTGTTAATATTAGCTATATCAAAACACATTTTCTGAGAATACGTGTTTTGGGATATAAGTGGTTTTCTCTTGAAATTTGCTTTGGTGAATACTTCATTGATTCCGTGTTTACTGCTAATGAGGTTGTGAAAGTACAGTTTATTTTACCAATTCCTCAATATATTGGTAGAAACTTGTACCGAGCATATTTCTTAATTAAATTATTTGATATATTTACCAAATTTTCCATAGTTAGTGAATAATCAGTATATCGGAATGAAATAATGACTATATTCATGAAAATCTGATGAATTGCATTGTGAAGTATGAAAATATATGAAACACTTTCATCCTCTTGGGTAATTCCTTGCTGCTACATAATCTTCAAAGCATATTCCTCATGATGTTATATAATTTGGAAAATATTTTAAGTTCCGACACAATCTCCTGGCCTACCCTATGATTCAATTCGAAATTGTTAATTTTCTAACATACAATTTCACAATTTATTTTTGGTGAAAAACCAGAACTTCAGCATAATTCTTCGTATCTCTTGGCACTCAATTGTAGATTTGTATAAATACATACCTCCCTCCCGAACATATTGATTTTCTCATTGGGATTCAGTGACAACAGAATATCACCAATGAAGGAGTAACACTGCCCCATCTCGAAACGCCTTTGCAGCAGATCCAATATGTCTCGTTCGTTAATATTGTCCAGTGCTGCCAAATCTTCTTCGTACATGGGTATCATATCAAAATCTATACCTTTCTTCAGTAGTTTTCCATGAACGTTCATTTCTGGGTTTCTCTCGGATGGATACGTTTTACCCATATCAGATATCAGTGACTTCATTTCAAGAGACAGCTGAAACAAGCCATGATGAAATGAAAATAATATTTTTCAAGAGATGGATTGAAGTAAGGCTCTTGTCAAGAAGGAATTATGTCTCTGTGGGATTTCATTATTTGTGAACATGCAAGTTATTTGTGCCTTATCCTTGCGTAAGGTATTGAATTGACTGATCACATCTCAATGAGATTTGTTGATGAAGATGTGTGTATGCATAAACTAGGGTCATCCAACAGGTTATTCCGAACTTTGACAATTGATAACGGCCATCTTGTTGAAGCTACATCTATCAAATTAGTTGTTATTTATTCAGTCCGTTTTGCCAAATCACCATGGACGGATATAGCGCTCAACAACACGTGCAAAAAAATGAAATAATTTTATCAAAATGGGTCTTTTGTTCGGGCAATGTACCGAGCTTCGCCCATTCTACGGTTGCCATAATCGTCCCAGCGAAAGGACTATTCTCAATGTGGTGGATAAATTTGAGTCCACTGGTTCAGTAAATGATCCGTCAACACCCGTACGTTGAAGAAACGCAAGATCTTCCGAAAATATTGATGCTGTATGTGAGAGTGTGCAGGAGAATCCAAAGCAGTCAATGTCGCGTCTCTCACACTTCATTTTATTTTAATTTGAAGATGGTAAGCGCTTGATGAACTAATGAACGAATGATGAAACAAAATGGATTGAATT